TTGAGGTGCGCCTCCAATTAACTCAGATGTTATCAATTAACCAATCAGAAGCTTCCAAAGCCATGACATCATCATCTGGGCTTCTCCAAATGGTTTGAAGGCGTCTTACTGGATGGAAACTTCTGACTTTAAAGAAAGTAATAAAAACAAATCTCTCTCTCATTATTCTGGTCTTGAGCAAATAGAAATAATGTTGGTAATCCTGACTGAGCTAAAACAGGAAGAGTTCAGTCTGATTTAATGTCAGACAGCGAGAAATAAAAGGCGTGTATTTTAGAGGAGGAAAGCCCTGATGAATTTTCAGTTACTATAAAAATCTGCAAAACCTACAATCAGTCGTGTTGCAGTTAAAATCCGAGCGACATCCAAATGTGAGAATAAAGCGTTTGTCTTGATCTCAAAGCGCCTTTTCAAGATTTTACATTTAGTTTTCCAGGCTGTTATGATCCAACTTCCCTCTAAATCTGTTCACCTTGGTTTATTAGAATATGCGCTGTTATAATTAACTGTTGAAAAAAAAAAACAAAAAAAAAAACACAGGAATGTACTTGTTTTTCTTAAATATCAAGGAATATGCTGTAAAATCTGATGTCAAAAACAGGAATGACTGTTAACAGCAGGCTGCAGTAAAAGAAAAATAAATGCTGTTAATTGAACATAAGGTTTCTGGAATTAATGCTGTGGCTGAGTGGTGTGTGGATATGAGGGAAACCAGTCACTCTGTGTTGACTTATAATCCACAATATTCTGTTTAATGATAGAAAACAGTATTTTAAAGTGTAACATTTGGGGGGAAAGTGACCGAAACGTGAAGTGAAACACGAGGACACACAGATAAACACCCTATTGATTTATACTTTCACCTCGCTGTCGACTGATCAGAGTCCAGATTAAATCAAAGAGTGTATTTTTTTTCAGCACACAAGACAAACTCTGATGAAGACTAACGAACTTGTAGCTATAATGGTGAGTGTTTTGTTTTGTTTTGTTTTGATATGTTTTTTTTACCTCACAGTGAATACATTTTGTGTCACACATGCATGCGACTGTCACCACTTATCTGCACCGATAAGCTTCGACTCCTGAGCAAACAGAGAAAGTTCTCTGATAGGGATCTCGGTCGACGGTTGTTTTGTCGCTGTGCTGCTTCTTGTGCGATCGGTTCAGCACCTAAGCAGCTGTGGTTGGCTGGCTGCTTTAAGGTTATTCTGAATAAACTGGCTGCATCTTACTTACTTACATACCCTGTTAACATCTGTTGGGACACTAACAGTGTGTCAGACGATGCACGGTTGCTTCACAGTTCCATTCGCCATATATCCCTATAACTAAATGATCTTATTCTGTGTTCACACAGCTGACTTTGCTGTTGCTGCTGATTCTGTCCTCCGTTAGTCTGCAGAAAACTCTGAAGGCACAGGACAGAAATGGTAAAAAATAAAAATTAAAACTGATATTGTCACAATAAGTGTGCTCATTTGTGGAACTTTGAGCATAAACAGCAACAGATGTGAAGATACACTCTAAAAAGTAGTCCCTACAGTCGTCCTCACATGTATTCATACCCTTCCATTAAAGAAAAGACAAAATCCACAATAGTCACTCAAATAACGAGAAGAAAATGAAAAAAGTAATAATAAATAAAAATGTGTTAAATTGTAGTTTAGTGAAATAAGACATTGCTTTTGTGGTTGAAAAGAATAATTTAAAAAAAACAAAGCTGTCCCAGACAAATGAGAGCCCTTTGCTGATGAGCAGTGGGCCAAAATCAAAATACCTGTCAGCCAGTGACGTGATGTCAGGTGAGGCAGAGCTTCACCTGACATCACGGAAAGAAAGAAATATATGATGACAAAATAATTTAAATGGTTCTATTTATCTAGTGATTTGTACTGTAAAGTATTTATTTTTTCATTTAGCCTCGTCAGTTTTGATGATTTTTAAACTCAAAATCGCAGAATTTTCGCAATTTCCCATTCAAATGCTTGGAAGAGAAGCCGGTGAGGCAGCGGTGAGCTCAGCCTCACTTGGATTGCGCAATCCCTCACTGCGCAGGCTGCCTGCAGTGACAGCGTGCTGCTGTCTGGATGCCGCCCATAACATTTAATATATGAACAGATTTTCCATAGTTCAGTTGATGTATATAATAATGAACAGTGTTTTTTGTTACCAACTGTATGTGTGTAACATGTTTTGTGTGCTGAGCGATCATAACCGGCTGAGAAGAGGTTCTAGGTGAGGCAGGCAGTTCTCTGGCCTTATGGCAGGGGGCGCTCTGATCCCAGACATGCTTCTTGTGACTCCGTGGCTGGAGACACAAACAGTTGACCTCATTTACAGCTTTATTTGGATTGATATGGAAGCAGCATTTCTTCAAAACCTTTGGACAATTTTAACGACGAATAGTTTCGGACATGGCATTATTAGTCATAATGTAAAAAAAATACATTAAAGTCATCATCATTCAAATCTCTCACACAATGTCTTACCATCTTTGTCCTTGTGTCAATTCTAGCCAGAAGAAACCTATTTGTCAAATAAAAATTCACAACAAATCAAAACTAATAATCATTTTGAGCTCAGCTGTTTACGTGGGACTGTTGTGATGCCTGAAGAAGGTCTTACAGAGTATTTAAGGTTAGCACTGTTGCCTCGCAGCAAGAAGGTCGCCGGTTCACGTCCCGGTGGGGGCACCGGAATCTTTCTGTGTGAAGTTTACATGTTCTCCCCGTGCAGCGTGAGTTCTCT